TTCTTTTTACACCCAGTTGTATTACTGACCTGTTGCCGGTTAACTTTATTAGTTGCAAAATGTTCCTCCAGCTGTTTCTTTTAGTACCACTTACTTTTATCGCCTTTTGTTGCCCCATCCTAACTTTTTAAAGACATGTGACAACGGTGATCTAAAAGAAGCCATTTTTCTTACAGGGAAGGTAATGAAACAATGTGAAGCCCATCTTATTAGTGGAAATATTTCAATCTCTACAAGAGTGGACATAAAACCAGGTCAGACCATGCAATGCTCAGAAGGACCCGCGAGCTACATCTCAGACTGTTTAAGAAGAACATGCTACTACAGCATTGGTTTGCAAAGTTATATGTGAATAAACCACAAAGCCATAGTCCAGACCACAACCTCACTGAGATGCATAAATGACTGCTCACTGCACTGAAGCGACACTATAAGGGAGAGCGGACAGAAAATTCCTCCACAGTGATGATGATGAGTGATTGATGAAGTTGACTTGAGGTTATTGCTACCAAAGGTGGTTCCACACGCTGCTAATGTACTCTGTTTTTCACAGCTCAGTTTATTAGGCGTTAGCTACTCTTTCTAGCTAGCTAAGATTTGACAGGCTAACATGATGGTAAACATGCTAAGTATTTTTATCTTCATTATATCAACATGTCAGCAAGGTCAGTATAGTTATACGAGCTAACTGGTGGAGCATTTAGCCAGTAAAGGCCCACAGATTCTAGTTTTCACAACACGGTAAAAAGTTTCCCTGCAGCAGTCCTTCATGCCCTCGTACATCAGACTCTCTGCATTAGGACTGCATATAAGTAGAAACCATCGCATCAGTCCTGTGCAGCATCTCTTGGGGCTAGAATAATGAAGCAGCTGCAGTTCTGCAAGTGTATAAAAGGAGAAAGTGGGCCTACTGTGTAAGCACTGCATTTATACATCTGCAGAGAGGAAACTTGCAAGCATCGGCACACAGCTAGGGATTTGCATCGGTGAACTTGCTTACAAAGGACTGCAGAC